CACTACACACACAATTTTTTTTTTTTTTGTGAATTTTAATATTATCCTGTCATCTTTGCCTTTGTATCCGAAACAGAGTTTGTGGGTAGAATTATGAATCTTTTTCTCGTCTCTCACATACGTTCTACATGTCCTGTCCATCTGACCAACCTTGATTTCATCATCCTAAAAGCATTGTGAGAGAAATACAAAATTATAGAGAATCCTGCCATGTTACATTTTTGTCTCGGCACGTATACCTAGGTTGTCCTACACGATCACGCGACTGGGATGCGATCCAGGGACAGTGATGGATAAAGTTCACTGTCTGCTGCATGTCAGTGCAGTGGTATTGGACCATCACTCACTTCTGTACCAGGCTTGAAGGAGCCCGACTGTGAGTAATGGAAACCATGTCATGTCAACCCTACGGGGGACCCAGGTAGGTTCCAAACGGGTGTTAAGAAACATTATTCTCTATCCATATGTCTCGCATCATTTACTCAAAATACGTATTGGGTCACGGACAATTTACATTATATCTTCACCAGAAATGTCTCTAGAAACCTAATGTTCATTATCGTGTTCACAAAATCCTGCTATAAGACCTCATTATGAAACATATCAATTTCACACTCAGTCAAAGATTTCTGTCTTCTGGGTTGTTGCGCCGTGTAGTATGGTAGATATTTACCACACTACACGGCGCAACAACCCATAAGACAGAAATCTTCATACTCGCCGCTGTGACAACCTCAAATCACACTCAGTTTCGGAGGAACATACTACACATCCCTGAAGATTAAGGCATTATATCCTCCCAAACCTGAAGGACTTCATCCATCGTTGAAGTGTTTTAGAACAACAACGTTTCGGAAGGTTATTCTACTACCGTCTTCAGGTAAGCCGTGGGCGAACAGAAACCTACTCTACTGGGCACCCTTTGTTGATCGCCTCGACCGTGGAACTATGCTTCCACGTTCTGTATACGACACAATGGTCCAATGACAATACAACATATTCTTAATTTTTGGCGGTGTCCATAATTTTAAACATCCTATAAAAGCGAATCGGGGTCTCTGATAACGGGAACGGCTGACGATGCAGGGAAAATGTCAGTGGGAGAGGTGAGATGTAAGGAGAGGAGGATATGAGAGTCTGTTGAAAGGAAGAGTGTGATAAAACGAAAATGAAGAGAAAAGTTAGTGATGTGTAACTTCGACCAAAACGGAAGTAAAAGTTGGATTCTTTTGACTACGGGATGCAATGTGTCGAGAGGGCGCGGCAGTTTCTAAACGGTGAAGATATGCCACACGACATTACTGCAACAGAAACGAGCCTGTCAGAAACTGCGGTCTTTTGAGATCAAAACGCGAAACCCAAATCTAGATCACCAGCAACTCAGAATTCTTTAACGCCGCCATGTTTGTATCGAAAGATTGGATGCCTCAAGTGTCACGATGTTTACGCTGAGGGAATAAACAGCAGTTATCAGAGGTTCATCAATATTTAACCACTTCATACCTATCAATAAAATCCCAGTTTTATCGGCTGCATTTTCACCATGACATCCAATAACCTGTCCCTGTCGCTGAGAGCCTTACGATGTTCTCTATGAGCATTATCATTTGTATTTGCTAAATGCCGTAATGCTAACAAAATCCTACGATTTGATCTCGGCACAATCGTTAACATTTGCAATCTTATTATGAACGCTTTGTATTACTACAAGTAGTAAGATTGCTATTTTATGGATAAGAACAGGGGTCCTCAACCTTTTCCAGAACTAAGGCTACACTTACCCTTACTTACTGACTCGATGACCACAAGGTTATAAAAGATTTAAAGTTATTAAAATGTCATTATAATTTTCTAAAACTACTAAAGTAGGTCTAGTATTGGAAACATGTTCACGTTAGGCTTACATATTCATATCAAGCTACTCGTAATAATTCTATTTTACGTGTCACATATCTAACACTGATTTCATTTAAGTAATCTTTAAACATCAGGTTCAGTTTGCCTTGCTGTCAATCTCACGCATCGCTCAAAGCGTTCTTCATTGACATGAACAGCAGCTCACAGCAAGTTCCTTCGATATACTGACGTCATTAACAAACTGTTTTTTTTATCTTCTAATTTTGGGTAAATACTATAACGGGCAAATGCTTTACCTCACACAAAATAACACGGCATTGCCACAAAATAATGGCAGGCTGCATGCGGACAGCGCGTTTAGAAAACTTGTTATAGCGGAATAACTTAAGTCCATATTGTCCTACATTTCATTGTGTTCTTTTGTTCAAAAATTTAGTTATGAGCATTAGAGTTCAAGCATGATATATCATTGCAAACAATATTCAAGCAACAAATATTAGATGAAATTAATGACAAAGAATGAAACATTAAGATTAAAAGTGTGACTCTAACCTTCATGGTGTAACCGGTTAGTTCTTTTGAAACGTCGCTAACCATCTACAAGACCACACGGCTTCACAATCCAGAAGACTACAATTTTATTTTCATCTCCCAAAAAAAAACTCAAATCTAAGAATTTATTATCAAAATCAGTTTAGTGGATTTTGAGATGGAATACTGACATACTTTCTCGTTAAAACACTATCTGGCACGACTTAACATACCGTAGATCCCCCCAGCACATATTTCAGTAAATTATTTTAAGCTACACAGGCACTGAATATAAAATTGGTATAGATCTCTAACTAGAACCCTTGTTTGCGTATCTCTTCGTGATGAATTATTGTAATGGGCCCCAGTATGGTCCGCTTTCATCCTGGCTATTAGTCTTATGGGACAGGTTGCTTGGGGCGTGTCTCTTTCACAGCGATGGATAGCTTTATGATACTCGTTTTCCTTTCGGTGGTCGTGGAAGATGAACGAGAAGTCACACTCCCCACTCTCCCTCGTGCCATCTCACAGTTCTGCCAACATTATCTCCAGCCAAATATTTACAATGAAAGGTGCTATCATGTTCGCCATATATCATAGACATCAGAACATGTGAAAGGCAATTTTTATGTATGTAACAAGTCAAGTTTTAGTTTTTAAGTAATGGCCCTAGTGTCTTCAGTAAATGATTGCAAATCGAAACTTACTTTCATACGCAGAGGTGGAGTGGTGTGTTATTTATGGCTTGGCAGTAGTAGTACTTGGCTTCATGCAGACTACTTTGTATAAAATGTGAAAAAACAATATTTTTTGGAATCCTTGCTATCAGCTTGCATCTTACTGTTCGTTTCTTCACTTATTAACATAAAATCAACTTAGATTCATGACGTCAAATGGGACTGGGCAAGGAAATTTATAATGATTCTAGAAGTATGTTCTAGGTCGTCTTATGGGCTATTACGTCCAATGGCGCCTCTTCTATTTTCTCACACCGGACTCCGGTGTTATTTTATTTATTCTATCAGATATATTACTAAAAGCGAGTCACAAACTACACGTGTTCTAGCTTAGTCTGTTTTGTTGTAACAATATTCCTTTTCTATATACAGGGCTATTCAAAAAGATTGTCGGGGTTTTGTGAATTTTTGGAGGCAAGGAAGCGGTCGTGGCCTAATTCCCGGCATATGCGGACATTTGACTGGGGGAACTGAGGGGTGCCCTGAACCTCGGTCATTACAGTCAGTTTCCAGGCCGAGATTTGAACCCGAGCCTTCCTGAATACAAAACAGGATTTATAATGACACAGCCGCATGCATGAACGAAATAAAATATCATGGCAAATTTTATTTGGATAAGTTCAAAAGAAGTTCCCGCTTGTGAGAATTAAATATAATCTGTACGAGATGCTGGTATCAGAACGGGTGTTAAAAAACCGCGTGGTGTAGTCTAGTCTTTGTTAAAAAAAATTCCATACACGCAACGAATTATTTTGGCCATATGGACAACAACAAATTGCTCAAGGAAGTCTGTAGATCTGCTGTAGAATGAGGTATACCGAATGTTCCTCTTACACGCAATCGTGGAAAAACCATTTTTGCACCTGCACAAATTTTCGTAATTGGCGTGATTTCATTTTTCTACCGTAGCACGTGAGTGTTGAGGGTGGCGTTTTAAATGGCGCACGCTGTAGTTCAAAATACAGAACTGAAACACACCATTGTACATTACGGTGCTCATATGTACTGTATGTAAATACTTTGCTTTGAAACAATTTTGCCGGGCAGGAAGCAAATCTAATTTAAATTTGACATTTGTGTTCTATGTAATAAGCATGTCATTCTCTAAGTGTTCGTAATATGTAATAAAGTATATAAAACTATGTCAAGATTTTATAACCACAGAAATAAATCACTCTCGATTTGAAATATTAGAAAAGCCACCGTTCTTTCATTTATTTAATTAGACGAAATAAGTGGGCCCCTAGGGTTGATCCCAGCTTTCTGAAGAAGCCATGCCAAGATATTCCTCCTTGTTTGCTTTCATTTCGTTTAAAATAAAAATAAAAATGAAATAATAAGTACTATGGAAACAAGAAATTCTGACGAATTATTAAATCTCCAATTCTTTGTTTTTCATTTTATGGTTTCAGCTCGTTTTCTTTTACTCCACTTCAGTTTTTCCTCTTAAAACTTTCTTTCGTAATACGGAGTCTAAAAAAGAAAAATCTGCTGCCTACATCTTTAGTTTCCTTGCTTCATTAAGGAGAGAAAACTCTATCAAAGGTGAACTT